AGTTCCAAATTCTATAGTAGTGTTGGGGTTTTTGTTCAATAAACTGGCAACTCCTGCTTGTTTATTAAACAGTACATAATCTCACTTCTGGTAGAGGGAGAATATTAAGTGGCATAAAAAGAAATGTGTATTGCTATTATCTTATTTTATAATACAATCAAGTTAAAAAATGAGTATTTCCATAGAAGAAATAAAAAAAACTGGTTTTCAAAGTACCATCAAAACGGGGCACCCATCCAATTGGATGGGCACCCGGTCCGCCAATGAGGGAGATGATTAGCCGGACCCTAAGCACTATTGACTAACACCTTGCGTTAGAAACTTAACACATCGTGTGCCATTTATACCAAAAACTCGTTGATCCGCTCTGCCATGTGGGACCAAAAAATTATTCATGAAACACTTTTTATATATCGATCTTGAAAATCTTTGTTTGCGGTTGTGCGATACATTTTTCCCGGATATCGGAGTAGTCATCTTATAATACGATTACTCAAATATTTCATTCGATTTTTTTAATTGTTATGATACTTTAGACGTCTTTGGCATCCTTGTGCAAGCAAACGCTCTTTTACAGGTTTCAAAACCAAGGGAGTCCGCGCGCCTCGTAGACTACAACATTTGTACCTTGCAAACTCATGCAAACCAGAAGGTGTTAGTCATTTAGCGTGACGCACGGCTCCCGCTCAATTAAGGTCTTCGATGCACTAAATGAGCGCGAGTTTTCAAACGTACAAGAAAAATACCAAAAATACTATCTAAGTAAGGAAAAAGCTCTTATAACTTTATTAGCAATCTAAAAAAAGATGACGATTCTTATTATAACGTTCTATTTCGAGCACCTTTAGTTTCTTGTCACACTTAGCGTGACGTTAAGGTCTTCGATGCACTAAATGAGCGGGAGTTTTAAAGTGTACAAGAAAAATCCCCGAAATAGTATCTAAGTAAGGAAAGACCTCTTATAACTTTATTAGCAATCTTAAAAAATGATGTCGATTCATATCATAACGTTCTATTTCGAGCACCTTTGGTTTCTTGTCACAATTAGCGTGACGCACGGCTCCCTCAAGGTCTTCGATACACTAAATGAGCGGGAGTTTTAAAATGTACAAAAAAAATCCCCAGAATAGTATCTAAGTAAGGAAAACCTTTTATAATTTTATTAGCAATCTTAAAAAATGATGTCGATTCATATTAGAATGTTCTATTTCGAGCACACTCTTGTCACACTCACGTATGGACCAGGATCCGACTAATCACCTCCCTCGTTTTTCCCTTTTCTTTTTTCCCCTCCTTCTTCTTTTTATTTTTCTTTTCTGCTATTCTTTTTTAATATTAAGATTTTTGGCCGCGCTTTAATGAAATTGGAACAATTCCTTCTAGATTGTTGCAACATAATCCGTTACACTCCAAAACATTGTACCACCTTTCTGACCAGATCGCAAAGACGGTCTTTTTTCCTCTTTCAATTTTTATCATGAATTGTAATCTATAAGAATATCACTTCTGTAAGTGGGAGATATTAAAGCGGAAGGTTCAGAAAAAATTAATATTTAATTCCTTATACTAGAAATCAGTGTCATATTTTGGTAAAGTTATACCAGGAACTCCGGCACCAGCGCTGCCATGTGGGACTGAAAAAGCTTTTCACGAAAAAACATTATGATGTTAGAACCAAACTAGTAACGATTTAATATTAGTAACGTTTCTAATATTATTAATAAACGATCAAACATGAAGACGGATTTTTTTAACGGGTTTTACTTAGTTCCAGGTGTCTGTGAATATGCCGGTAGAGAATGCATATGTGAATGTATATTGTTGTTAAGGTGCAAAGATTTTCAAAAKAATATTACTTCAATGACAGGATGTTGACAAGATAAAGATCGATTTTGAAAATCGTTTTACAGCTAAGCGATACATTTGGTCTCGATACCTGAGTACTCATATTTTAAGACTATTGCACAAATCGTTATTTGAAATTTGACATTTTTATGATACTTAAGGCGTCCGGTATACTCATGAAAGCAAACGATCTTGTACGACTTGTACAGGTTTCAAAACCAAGTGGGCCAAGACCAATTGTACCTTGAAAAGGTATGCAAACTAGAAGGCGGGTTAGTCACGAATGGACCAGGATCCGACTAATCACCTCCCTCGTGGCTGGGCGCAACGGTCATCCATTCGGATGGGTGACCGTTTTGTACTCGGGGTTTTTTTCGCTTTTTTTTCTCCTTCACCTTTTTCTTTTCTGCTCTTCTTTTTTAATATTATCATTTTTGGCCGCACTTTAAATTTGAACAAATTCTTCTAGATTGTTGCAATATAATCCGTTTCACTCCAAAACATTGTTCCATTTTTCCTAGTCTTAATAAATCGCAAAGACGCTTTCTTTTCTTTTTTTAATTTTTTTATGACGAATTCTAATTTATAAGAATATTACTTCTGGAAGTTAGAGATATTAAAGCGGAAGTTCCAGAGAAAAAGAATTTTTTTTCGACTTGAATACCAGCAAATTTTGGTAAAGTTAGGCACTCCGGCACCGGCGCTGCCATGTGGGACCGAAAAAGCTTTCACGAAAAAATGGGGTAGCTATTGTGCATGTCTCCAAAATCCCTACAAGGATCCCGAGAGTGCGTTTTGTTGTTGTTGTTTGTTTGTTTGTTTTCTTTAAATAAATGTCTAGTACTTACAATAAAAACTTTCTGGTGCAGTGTATCCAAACTTTCTTTCCCAGTCTCCCAGTTTTTCAATTTGACGGGTTTTAGGGGCTTGGCACCAACCTCTGTACCAGAGAAGGGACACTTTTTCACTACAGCAATTTGCTGCTCTGCCTCTTTCTTCATTTGGGCATCATTCACTTGATTTTCAGTGTTATCATTTGTCTGCTTATCACCATTAGCAGTTGGTTTTACAACAACAAGTTCGCCGTTCACAGGCTCTTCTTTATTCTCTTTCTCGCTTACTACACTAACATCCTTCTTTTTTGGTGTTTTGGTCGGCGACTTAGTGCCATTCTTGTTCACTTGTGAATTCCCAGTTGCCTGCTTTTCCTGTGCTCTTTTCTCCAATTCTGCTTGAAGTTTTAACGCCACGGTCGAGCCAATAGCGACATCATTCAATATTTTCAATGCCTTGGTGAACTCCGTGTCTTTAAGTGACTTCCCGTTGATCTCGAGAATGACATCACCTTCATGRAGCATTCCGTTAGCTTCYGCAGTGCTTCCCTTCACAATGCTAGAGATTGTAACACATGGTTTTGCTGATCGCTCCTTGACTAGAAAGCCTAATCCACCAACTTTGTGTTTTACTATCTTGGTGGAGGTGATGCTTTCTTGCTTGTCAGTCATCTTCAGAAAATGGCTGAAAATGAATAAATGTAATAGAGTCAACTGCAACGCACTTGTGCCGTGAAATATGAT